GTCATTGATCAGCTGCCTAGCCCACAACCCGGGCATGTGCCCTGACCAGGAATCGAACCCTGATGGCCTGGATCCTAGGTCGACACACAACCACTGAGCCACACCCAGCCAGGCTGAAATAAATTTTTTAAATCCTCACGGCTTCCCCATAGGGATAGGTGTGTCGTTGAATTGGCCCCCCACCAGGTGTGGAAGATTTCCTAAGCTGGCTTCTCACACCCTTGCTGCTTGGAACGTGTTGGAAAGAGGGTTTGATAATTCTCACTTGGAGTCTTGTTAAACCTGCTCTGCCCAGCCAGATGTGGCTCAGTGGTTGAGCATCCAGCTAGGATCTGGGAGATTGCAGTTTGATTCCCAGTCAGGGCACATACCCAGGTTGCCAGCTTCATCCCCAGTTGAGGGTATGCAGAAGACAGCTGTTCATTGATGTTTCTGTCTCTTTCTCTCCTCCCTTCCTTTCTCTGAAATCAATAAAGATACGTTTTTTTAAAAAAACAAAAACCTTCTACTGTGATATTACATCCTCAGGCAGATTTTAAAACATTTCTATTGGTTTGTCCAAGAACAGTTGAAATTACTCCCATAATACATTGCTTTTGTAGTTTTACAGTTTAAAAGGAATTTTCCCACATTGTAATCTTTAATTCTTATTATTTGCAACTCTGAGGCAAGTGATTTTCTGGAGGTCCCATAGCTGCCAGGTTGGAGAAGTAAGGTGGATGAGAACCTGGGGTTTCTGTTTCTAAGACTCGTGGACCTCTACACTATGTCAGTGGGCCTGGAGTCCTGCTTCTCATAGACCAGTTGGAATTCCGGAAACATTTTAAGGAACAACCTGTACTTTCCAACTTTTTCTTTTGTCAATAAAAGTGCCTTTTTAACCAGTTACTACACATCTCCATCTTTTTGTAAGAAAAAAGGATGTTTTAACACTGAAAATATAGGAAGAGAGTTAAGCTTAAAGAATAGCCCTTTACATGGAAAATATTTGTGAAAGTCTTTGTTCCTGACTTTATACCACTCTATGAACCAATAAAAACCAAGAGCTTGCTTGGGTCCTTGTACATTTCAGAATCTAATTCAGCCTCTAGGACTAATATCCAATAAAAACACTATTGCAGACAGAACTCGGACCTGTTGCACGAGACTTAAGACTTGTTGGACTCAATTTCTCAGAGTGGTGTCCATGGCCACATTTTAGATTGGTATCTTCTGTCTGGGTTGCTTTGTTTATTTATTGAATTTATTGGGGTGACATTGGTTAATAAAATTACAGGTTTCAGGTATAGAATTTATAATATATAACCTATATATTGTATTGTGTGCTCACTACCCCAAATAAAATTATTTTCTATTGTCTTTGATAGGACTGTAAATGTTTAAGGAGTTACTAATGGGTAGCACTTGTGTATTATTTCACTTCACACCCCAGGGATAGGATAGCTTCAGCGATTAGGAAAACCAGGAGCTTGCTTGGGTCCTTGTACATTTCAGAATCTAATTCAGTCTCTAGGACCAGCATCCAATTCAGGTCAATTCCCCAGAATCCCTAGGATACCTATAAGGTTTTGTGAAATAGCTTGGAGGTGGGGTTGTGGGTCCACCCTGGAAGAATGATGGGGGCCATACTTGTTAGGTTGTTGCCATTACACCTGCTCGTTCCACAAATATTTGTTGATCTGCCCTGGCCAGTGTCCCTCAACGGTTAGAGTGTTGGCCCACTCACCAGAGGGTTGCAGGTTTGATCCCTGGCCCCAGTCATGGCTGGTACTGGAGGCAGCCAGTTGGTCTTTCTCTCACACATAGATGTTTCTCTCCCTTCCTCCTTCTTCCCCCTCAAACCCTTCTACTCTCTCTAGATATCCTCAGATGAGGATTAACAACAACAAAAAATTTGTTGATTGACACATTTATTTCCCAGCACCAAGTGCCATGAACGTCATATTCTAATTAGTGAGAGGTCAGAAAGATGGTCATCACATTGTAAGCATAATGTTTTATGATTTAAACTTCTGTAACTGCATGCCATAGGTGGTCTGGTTTCAAGAACAAAAGAAAGAAACCGATGTGTTAAAACATCCCAGAGCACACACAGGTCATGTTTTAAATCCTGATTCTTGCCCTGGTCAGTGTGGTTCAGTTGGTTGTAGTGTCATCCCATATACCAAAAGATGGCAGGTTCGGTTCCTGATCAGAGCACGTACCCAGGTTGCTGGTTCAGTCCCCAGTTGGGGTGTGTATGGCAGGCAACTGATCGATGTTTCCCCCACACACACACCACCCCCAATAAAAAACCAAAAACCTGGTTCTTCACTCTTTCCTTCCTTTGGTTTCTTTTTCAGAGAGGCTGAACTGGTAAAAATTAGGCTTCACTTGTGCCCAGATTTGAATCATAAGTGATGTTGCAGGAGCAGCTTTGTGCAGACTTTCATGGGTTTTGTTAAAGTCAGATTGGTAGGGGGCAGTGGAGTATTGCATGTAAGTGGGTGTTGTGGTCTTCTTGGTAGCAGTGTTCCTCAAAATTTTTGAAAAGGTTTCTGCTCATCCAGAAGACCCTTGTGCTCATTAATGAGATGGATTCCTTGGTATTCAAAACCAGAGCAGCTGGCTTCTGAGAGGCTGGGTTAGGTGACAGATATGGGCTCATATTGAGAGAAGCAAGGCCAGCCCCCTGCCACCTACCTACACCTTGCAAGGGAGTGTTGACTCCAGAATTTAAATGTTTATTTCAGTTCAGATAATTATTACTGTTACTCGCTTTGTCCATCTGAATAGGGAGATATCACCACCAAGGCCTAGTCTGGGAGGAGGGCCCAGGATGAGTGGACTGCAGATGGGCCAAGCTTGGTGGTCTGGGCCTGCCTTTCGGAGCAGAGGAGGATCAAGTGAGACAGCCTTTCGGAGCAGAGGCACACCCGGGTTCCTGAGTTTTAAACAGTGAGGTGAATACAGCAGATGGGAACCTACCTGTAGGCCATTTGCTGAGGAGATGTGCATTTGGGGGCATGTGGGTGTCCCGAGGCACTTACCATGGCTGATATTTTGACACAGTATCTTGTTTCCCAGTGAGAGAAGGGGAGTTTTAGGCTACTTACCCTCTATTTGTCGCAGGACATTGTTAGTATCTGTTTGTAAACAATTTTCAGAGTATGGAGGAGTTGTAATGTAGACATTTCCAGTGGTGGCAAAATATTATTGTTTTAAATATATTTATTGAGTTTTAGAGAGAGAGGAAGGGGGGAGAGAGGGAAACATTGATATGAGAGTGAAACATGGATTGACTGCCTCCTGCATGCTCCCTACCGGGGATTGAGCTCAACCTGGGCATGTGCCCTGAGCAGGAATGGAACCTGTAACCTTTTGGTGCACAGGATGCTACCCAACCAACTAAACCACACTGGCTAGGGCACTTTTTTTTGTTTGTTTTTTGTTTGTTTTTTATTTAATCCTCACCCAGGGATATTTTTTCCATTGATTTTCAGAGAAAGTGGAAGGGGGGAGGGAGGAATGGAGGGGGGAGACACACATCAATTGAAGAGAGACACATCGCTTGGTTGCCTCCCACAGGTGCCATGAGCGAGGCTGGGAATAGAACCCTCCACCCTTCAGTATGAGAGCAGACGCTCTAACTACTGAACCACACAGGCCAGGGTTGTTGTTATTTTTTAAGTATCATTATACATTCATGGATTTGTATAAATGCAATTGCTCAGTGAATCTTAGTTACATATTTGAAACATTTTATTATGAAAAATTTAAACATACACAAAAGGTGACACAATTTTACAGTGAATACATGCCTGTATACACACCCTAGATTAACTAATGTTTCACACATCTGTCCATCTATTCTGTTCATCTTTCAGTCTACTTTATTTTTATGACGCATTTCAAAGTAAGCAGAAAGTTGAAGTCTTCTCTCATAATATTAACTAGAAGCCAGTATTTAATGTACAGTTCTTTTTTTCTTTTGAAGTAATGCACACGGGTCTTGAGTATACCATTCAGTGAATTTTGACCACTGCATACACTCAACCCCTACGAAGATGTAGACTGTGACCAACAACCCAGAAAAGCCCTTGGGCCCCTTTCTAGGTGTTCCCTGCCACCATTCCCCAGAGGCAAAAGCTGCTCTGAATTTTTTCTCATTAGTTTTGCCTGTTTGAGAACTTATGTAGGTGGAAGCATTATTTACTTATTTATTGATACTCAGCTGCCCCAAATGTAGCCAGTGGGAGCCCTCGCAAGTCAGCTCCTTGTCTTTTAGACAAGCCTGCAGTCTTTGAGTGCTTTCTTTCTGACACTGCAGTGTGACCTAGGCCCACCCAGTACAATTCCTGTATCAGATGCTGAATCAACCACTTCTCCCAGGAGCTCCTTTTAATAGGTTTTATACTATATCAGTCCTACAAAGCCCTGGATAAAAAGGTCTGAGCCACCTGGAACCTTGGTTAAAAAGCTGTTATTTTTAAAGTCTCTACATTTGGTAATTGTGGTGGAGGAGGAATGTGAGATGAATAGGTGGTAGGTGTACAGTGAAGTATTTGCTCCTGTGCCTCGTCGGGCTTAGTGGGAAAGAGTTTGTCCTTCAGGGTGTGCTAGCTGGCCAGGTTCAAGGGAACCGGACCTGTGGGCCGTGTCCATCACCGACCCAGCAGCTAGCCAGCCCATAGCCTGGCACGGAGGAAGTGCACACTGCATACGTGTTGAATAAATATACTTTTAAACATCAGCCTTCGTTATCAGATTGATGAGGTTTCAGCATAGATATGGTCAGGACTGTTGACTGTTTTACATGGGTCCTCACCATTAAGCTATGATTTCTGATGCCCTGCTTGTCAGTATAGAACTGGTTTTCTGAGCTTTGATTTGATTTTTTTAATTTTTATTTTTAATTTTTATTGATTTTGGAGAGAGAGGAGAAGGAGGGGAGAGAGAGAAAATTGATTTGTTCCACTTATTTATGTGTTCATTGGTTGCTTGTATGCACCCTGACCTGGGATCAAACCCACAACCTTGGCATATCAGGATGATGTTCTAACCAATTGAGCAACCTGGCCAGGGCTGGTTTGATTTTTAGATTACCTGCCGTGGGTGCACTTTTGTAAGACTACTTAAGTTTACTATGCATTAAAAAAAAAAAAAAAGAAAGAAATTTTCACATATGTATGAATGAATTCCAGTTACCCATCCCCTAGCTTTAACAGCTATCAACATTTTGCAGTCTTCTTTCATACTTCTCTACTCCCTGCCTCACTGGAGTATTTAAGAACAAATATCAGGCATGTACTTCCAATCATAAAATTTTCTTAAACGTGTATCTAGCTGGTAGACATTCTTTTCAAACAACCACAATATCACTTGTCCCTAACTGAATAGTGATAATTCTTTACTAAAGGGTGCAATTTTGGATGCTTGTCTCTCAGTACTAAGCCTCCGCAGCAGCCTGCTGATGTAGATCCAGCTTCACGCTTTCCTTAGGTTGACTTACTCACTTTTCACAATCTTCCTGCAGAGGGAGAGGGGCTGCTTCTATGTTGCAGGTATAGAAGGAAACTAAAGAAACTTCCAGACCACACAGGTAGTGGCTGAGTAGGCAGGGTTTCAGGCCCGAGTCTGTGCAGAAGCTCCCACTTGGTGATGAAAGAGTGGCTTATCAAGGGCCCATGCACAGCCGGCAGCTGAGCCCAGAGAATGGTCCTCTACTCTTTCCTTCCCTGTTTGTCCCTACCCATGAAGCCTGACCCCACCTGTTGTCTTCCTGGTGCTGCAGGGGCATTGCCTCCCATTCTATCCTTAGATTTTCAAGTTCTTCGGAACCTTAAAAAATTTTTTTTACATAGTATCAAGTTTGGATTGTATCCCTTTTTTTTATTATTGATTTTAGAGGGAAAGGAAGTGGGGACATCAGTCTCTCGCCTCCCATACCCCCCAACCTAGGTATGTGCCCTGACTGGAAATCGAACCCACAACCCTTGGGTGCATGGGATGATGCTCCAACTGAGACACACCGGCCAGGGTAGAACCTTTACATTTTCAGTTCAATTGCTGAGTAGTTGTGGGAATTCTTGTTTTGGCCAGTCATGTCAACGTTTATCCTAAAAGTGGATGCCTTTCTAGGATGAACCTGCTGCCCAGTCTGGTGACTGGCTTAGATTGACGGAGCTGTTAGGTGATTGCATGCACTGGGTGTATTCATCTATTCCATATTGTACTGAAGGGTTTTTTGTTGTTGTTGCTTACTCATTTGGGAGATTTCAAGGTGGACCAGACTGTTTACACGGAGTGGGAGTTGAGTCCAAAATTGTAATTATAGCTGTGTTTGTCCTGAAGACTTCGGTTGTGTGTTTCAGTTGTCTCAGCCTCTCCGAGGATGAACCCACATGTCTGTCCATGTGGTGCAGTGATCACATCTATCTGATGTTTCAGAAGGTTCTTGTCTTTCCAGTTTATAGGAACCTTTTGGAATTGTGTCTCCTTTTTCATCTCTTCATTACCCCTAAGGACCAAAGTCCCTCTTTTCCTTTATATTTGTAAAAATTGACATATTTTATATAAGAAATAATGAAAGATGATAGAAAAAGTAAAACTCATCTGAGTGAGGCCTGAAGTGAGATTGGCTTCTAGAAACCAGCTGTTTTCATTTTTAGGGAACTTTGTAATTAGTTGTACCTTGGCTTAACAGTGGTTACTTGGAAATAAAGATGTGTCCTGCTCTGTTAATGGGGCTTCTTAATGAGGCCGAACTGCTAAAATTCATACATCTATGAAATTTGAAACTAAAAAGATTTTCTGGTCTTATAGATAGCTGAAGTATTGATAACACCAAGGAAATCTGTCACAATTTGAAAAGATAAGCAAAATTTGATTTCCAGACACTACAGAAAAAGAAGTAAAAATGGTAAGACACTTTTTCTTTAATCATAGCTACTGTTTTCATTTGTGTACAGATAAGTTTGTAGTATTGCCTCAAAATATTTGATTCTATTATTTTTCATTAGACTTCTTGAATTATATTTTATAGTATAACAATTCAAGTAATATTGAAATGTATAAAGTGTCGTTTTCCCCCATCGTCTAGAGAAAGAACAACTGTTATGTTTAGTTGTCCTTTTCCAAGTGTTCATATACAGGGGTGGGCAAAAGTAGGTTTACAGTTGTATGTGAAACAGTTTGTTTTTTTATTAATGTATCTTGTATTATTATTAATTATCGTATTACAACTAAACCTATTTTTGCCCACCCCTGTACAGTGGTCCCCCCCATCCGTGGCTTTGCTTTCCGCGGTTTTAGTTACCCCTTGTCAACCGCAGTCCAAAAATATTATATTAAAAATTCCAGAAATAAACNTTATTTTTCATTAGACTTCTTGAATTATATTTTATAGTATAACAATTCAAGTAATATTGAAATGTATAAAGTGTCGTTTTCCCCCATCGTCTAGAGAAAGAACAACTGTTATGTTTAGTTGTCCTTTTCCAAGTGTTCATATACAGGGGTGGGCAAAAGTAGGTTTACAGTTGTATGTGAAACAGTTTGTTTTTTTATTAATGTATCTTGTATTATTATTAATTATCGTATTACAACTAAACCTATTTTTGCCCACCCCTGTACAGTGGTCCCCCCCATCCGTGGCTTTGCTTTCCGCGGTTTTAGTTACCCCTTGTCAACCGCAGTCCAAAAATATTATATAAAAAATTCCAGAAATAAACAATTCAAATTCACCTCACTTCATCTCATCACGTAGGCATTGTGTCACCATCACATCACAAGAAGACGAGGAAGGGTGAGTACAGTACAATGAGACATTTTGAGAGAGAGAAATACCACATTTACATAACTTTTATTATAGCATATTGTTATAATTATTCTATTTTATTAGTTAATCTCTTACTGTGCCAAGTTTTTAAATTAAACTTTTTCATAGGTATGGATGCACAGGAAAGAAAACAGTATATAGAGAGTTCACTATTATCCGCGGTTTCAGACATCCACTTGGGGTCTTAGAATGTATCCTCTGCAGATACGGGGGGACTACTGTAGTCTTATTTTCACACAAATGATAAAGCATAGTTATTAGTTGTGCAGCCTGAAAGATAAGCGGTGGGTTGCTTGGTCTCTTCATATTGTTTTTAACTGAGTTTTCACATTTCCAGCGTCCATTGCGAATTTTTGTGAATGATGATCGCCACGTGATGGCAAAGCATTCTTCCGTTTATCCAACGCAAGAGGAACTGGAGGCAGTCCAGAACATGGTGTCCCACACAGAACGGGCTCTCAAAGCTGTGTCTGACTGGATTGATGAGCAGGAGAAAGGCAGCAGCGAACATGCCGAGTCCGAGAACTTGGATATGCCCCCAGAGGATGAGACCAAAGAAGGGGCTGGGTAAGTTTGAGGTTTTGTGGGGAGTTTTTTCTTTTTTTTTTTCTTGCTAGGGAGACTGACTAGAGCTGAGCATTCCCTTTTCTGAAGAAACTCTAGCCTTTCTGGGTTCTAGCCAGACTGAATCCCTTATATAGCATGTGTTGATCTGTCCTTCAGGGAACAGAAGACAGAGCATATGACCAGAACCCTGCGAGGCGTGATGCGCGTTGGCCTTGTGGCGAAGGGCCTGCTGCTCAAGGGGGACTTGGACCTGGAGCTGGTGCTGCTATGCAAGGAGAAACCCACGACTGCCCTCCTGGACAAGGTGGCTGACAACCTGGCCATCCAGCTCACTGTGAGTGTGACTGCCTCCACTGAGTGGGGCTGGGGGTGTTTTTGAGGACCCTCATGAGGCAGAGAAAGAGATGCCCAACTATGCTGTGTTTCAGAAGACACTCTAAACCCACCCTTGTACCTCCTGCACTTACACCTCAGTAGGTAATGGACAGGGTGCTGCAGAGCCACTGAGGGTCTGTGGATAATGGCTGGGTGATTGCAGTGGTGCCCAGACACTCTGGTTTCAAGGAAGGACCCAGTACCTACCATGGACTAGGCTGAAGTATTCTAGGGCTTCACTAGACTTGAAATTCACATCCAGACTCCATTGGATAGGTGAATAGATAGTATAATTAACTCTTCTCTGATCTCAACCTGGACATCACTAAAAACTTTTTAAAAACCAGTTTATTTGTCTTGTTATAAAAGTATTACACAAATAATAACCTGTGGCATTTCTTGAGCACTGACTGCACTAGATCCTTGGCCAGATGAGTTTTCCCCCCTTTAATCCTGACCTGAGGGCATGTTTTTATTGATTTTTAAGAAGGGAGAGACAGAGATCAATTGGTGGTCTCCCATATGCGTCCCAACAGGGGGATGGAACTCACAACCTTTTGGTGTACAGGGTGATGCTCCAACCAACAAAGCCACCCAGCCAAGGTCGGGCATGCTTTTTACATGTATTATTTCATCTTCACAATGCTCCTTGTAGATAGGAATTTATCATCTTGGTATTTGGGAAGAGTAACTGACACCAGCACTCCCAGCTGGTGAGTTCTGGGGCTTCAGAACTTCCACACATCACTGCAACTTGCTGCCTCCTGGATTTAATGACAGGAAGAGTAAAAACAAAAGTAAAAAAAATCTCATTCCTCAGAAACACCATTCACTTTTTTAAAAATCCTCAACCTCTAGGATATGCTTATTGATTTTAGAGAGAGGAAGGCGGGGATATCGATATGATGCCTTCCTTTCACACCCCGACTGGGGATTGAACCTGCAACCTTTCGGTATACAGGACAACTCTCCAACCAAATCACACTGGCCAGGCCGCCATTCACTTTCATTTGTAAACTTGCATTCTGTCTTGTGTGACTGACAATTTGGGATTCAGGATAAAGGTCAGAATTGAAATGTGGAGCCTAATGCATTATAGTAGATAATTCTGAGGAACTATTCAAGGTGAAGCCCTGCCTTTTCTGTTTTAGTAGTACTTTTACATTCATTTTATTCTTGTCTATAAAAAGCATATTAAAATAAAATCAAGCTGATGAAAGTGTTATGAAAGGAAGGACAATTTTTTTTAAGATTTCTTACTGATTTCTTAGAGCGATCAATGTGAAAGTGAAACACTGATGTGAGATTGGCTGCCTCCTGCATTTCCCACAGTTGGGAATCAAGCCCGCAACCCAGACATGTGCCTTAACCAGGAATGGAACCACCAACCCTTAAGTGCATGGAATGATGCCCAACCAGCTGAGCCATACTGGCCAGGGCTGGACAATTTTATAAAAAGCGGGTTTTTAGAGAAAGATGCAAATAACTATATCACTACTGATTTAGATTAGTGGGTTGTGGTGTTTTGTTTTGTTCTTTTGCTTGAAACAACACAGATTTATTATCTTTTAGTTCTGGAGATCAGAAGTCTTATATAGGTCTCTATGGACCAGAATCAGACTGTAGAGGAGTATCTGTTTCCTGTTCATTCAGGTTGTTGACAGAATTCAGTTCCTTTGAGTAGAGTCACTTTCATGCTTCAAATCTGTACTCCTCCTCCTGTCTCATCTCTAGATGATTGTTTTTTGAGTAGGGCAAATTTTCATACACACGCACACACACAACAGTTTATGGGGACAGTTTTGGTTGTGTCAGGGTGAAGAGTAGAACTACTAGCATCTATTGGGTGGAGGCTGGGGATAAGCTGCTCATCACCTTACAATGCACAGGAGAGCCCTACTCTCCAGAATGATCCAGCCCCAGAGGCCTGTACTGTGGAGGAGTAGAAACCTCAGTTTAGATATTTGAAAGTACAGTTGTCTTCCGTGCATGTGATATTTACTTTGTTTCCCTTTAAAAAAAAATCATAAAAGTTTGACTATCCTTAATCAAGGCATATAAACTGGTATAAAAAAGAAAACAGAAGTCAGACTGGTGTCACTGACTTTTTTTTTAATCTTCCCCTGAGGGTTTTTTTGTTGTTGTTTGTTTTTTTTTGTGTTTTTTTTTCTTATTGCTTTGCAGAGAGAGTGAAATGGGAGGGAGAGAGAGAAACATCAATGTGAGAGAGACATATTGATTCGTTGCCTCCTGCGCTAACCCTGGTCTGGAACTTGCAGTCAAGGTACGTGTCCTTGGCTGCAGCCTAACCCAGGACCCTTCAGCCTTAGGGCCAACACTCTAACCACTGAGCCAAACCGGCTATGGCCATTGTGACCGTTCTCATAGACACATGCATTTGCAGTGAGTACGTGCTTTAATATGTACCACATGACACAAACTTTTATTACACACTGTTTTCATGCCACATACTGATGGCTGCTCCTCCTGGTGTGGAAATAGTGGCTAGATGCCCACTTAGCCTGGGTGCTGTGCTTTCCATGCAGGGTCAAGTTTAAGCTTGCGGCAGCCTTGTGGTGTAAGTCATGTCATTAAGTCCATTTTACAAATTAGAAACCTTTTTCTTTTTCTTTTTTTAAGATTTTTTTTTATATATATAGAGAGAAAGAGAAACATCAATGTGCCCTGACTGGGAATTGAATCGGCAACCTTTTGGTGCATGAGATGACACCCAACCAACTGAGCCATACGGGCCAGGGCTAGAAATCACAGTCTTAATGAGATTAAGTGATTTGTACCGAGGCACACAGCTACCACATGACAAAATGAGGATTCACACCCTTGTCTCCTCCCTTACCCTAAATTCTTGCATGTTGCATTATGAAGGTTCCTCTGAAAATTACTTCTTTCTCTATGAAGTACCAGAAAATAGTCACAGACCTTACCAGCAAGAGGGAGGTCCTGATCCCCTAGATCAGGGGCAAGGAATGTCTGGCCCGTGGGCGGTATACAGTCTTGAAATCCTTTGGTCTGGCCATGCCAAGGTAACCGCAGGTGGAACTTGAAATTCAGTAAATCTAGGGGCTTATTTTATAGCTCATTTTTAAGTTGATAATTTTGTATGGCCCACGAATGATATAAGTATCCAAGTGGCCCTTGGCAAAAAAAAGGTTCCCCACCCCTGCCCTAGATGGGGGAACTGCTGTCCTGTCACACTCCAAGAAGTTGGCCTATCTGCTGCAGTAACCAGTGGGGCGAAATAGAAGTGTTGATTCTGTTGAGAAAGTGCTTTGAAAGTTGCATTTTCTTTTTTAGGCTGTTACAGAAGACAAGTACGAAATACTCCAATCTGTCGATGATGCTGCGATAGTGATAAAAAACACAAAAGAGCCTCCATTGTCCCTGACCATCCACCTGACATCCCCTGTTGTCCGAGAAGAAATGGAGAAAGTATTAGCTGGAGGTAGGGAGGCTGCGAAGGCCAGCAGGACTTTGGAAACCTGATGTTCCCTCACTATTCAAATGTGCTATTCAGTTTTAGACTGCGTTGATAAAAGGATATTGGTGTAACTTTGCCCACTTTTACTCTGAGATCACATCTCCTGTTTCGTTTTGGTACCAGGGCGTTTGACCAAACAGTTGCACTAAAAGTGAGTAGCAAAAACAAAAAGTGAGTAGCGTTTTTCAGAGGCTTGCACCAAAATGGTGCTGTCATCAGTGTCTCACTTGGTTTTTCCATTGAGCCATTCTCTTCTCTGGCCTTGGAAAAGTATATCTTGGGTGATGTTAAGGTTTTTTTAAAGTATAGAAGACAACCAGATAGTTTCTGCATGAACATCACTTTGGAGTTGTGCAAACAGCTTGTGGTGCAGCAGAACTGAGTGAGGTCTTCTTCCTTTGTCTTCCTTCCATTGGCTGCTTTGATCAGCTGAGTGATTGAAACCCAAATAGCTGATACAGAGTTAAACAGTTGTGTGATTTCTCGAAACAAAAGCTCAGACACTAATAATGGTTTCATAACTCAGAATCCTCCCAGGGCCCCTTGTGCTTTTCTTCAGTGTGAATGTTTTTAATCACAAACCTTGCACCACTAAGTAAGGGGAACAGGCCTTATCTAAATCCCTGATACAAACACACCGCCGAAACAACAAACACATGGCAGAAACAACAAACGGTGGTTTTGCTGCAGCATGGGCTCACACTTAGCACCCTTGTTGCTATTCTTTGATTACCTTTGGTTCTGATACCTGATTCCAACTACCAAAGCCCTTGGAGTTTATCAATTTAGGGACGCTGGACCTTTGACCAACAGGACTCTCTCTGTCAAGGGCTGGGGCTAGGGCAGTCCTTGCCTGGTGGGCGGAGGTGGTCCCCTTTGCTGCAGATGCCTTGGGATGGCTGTTGTGGGAAGCAGAGAGGGAGTTCATTTCCACTCTCCCCACCATTTTTTTGTTTTTGTTTTTTGTAGGTTTTGTTTTGTTTTTTCTATTGAAATTTTTAGCACAGCTAATTTATTGGGAGATAACGGGGAGGAAGCATGGTAACAGTCTATTAGAAGATAGGATTCACCTATCTATCCCCTCCCCTATGGGATTATTCCTTGTAGAGTAACTTCCCACCCCTCCCCAATGGGATTATTCCTTGTAGAGTAACTTCCCACTTGTGTTTTCATTTTTGTTTTTTTGGAGGGGCCTCCAATTTTTACAATTTCCTCTCTGGACAGAGTTAATGTACTCTGGCTTCTTCCCTGGTCCAGGGTAGAGATGACTTGAGATTCTGGGAGCCTCCACTGCCCTTTAGGAAGCTGCCACATCCCCTTTCCACCTGACAGAAACCCCTTGGTCAAACTGTGCCTTGTCTTCTTATTCCATCCATGAATAGAAACGCTATCAGTCAACGACCCCCCGGACGTCCTGGACAGGCAGAAATGCCTTGCTGCCTTGGCGTCCCTCCGACACGCCAAGTGGTTCCAGGTTTGCATTTTGTTCTTCTATTTGTCTTTTGGTAGAGAATTCCTAAGTTTTTACTTGGCTAACTTGCACCGTAAAGTTTCAGTAATGTTGAACCAGCACAGTGCCGAGCTTAGCACCTGCAGGCGTGCAGTTGCTAACGTAGCACGCATAAACAAATTCAACACCCCCCCCCAAGGAGGCTTGTGACTGAGTAGGTGGGTTGCTGCTGCTTTGTGCCAAGAGTAACATTATTATCATCCACACAGTGGCATCACTGCCAACCACAGACTTGATGGTTGTGAATGTTCACCCTTTACCCTGGACAAAGTAGCACCCTGAGACTTGTGTTGTTCATGTTTGCCTTGTGTTCTGGGAGGTGCCTTGGTGTAAATAGCCTGTGCTTTGTTCTTCTAGGCCAGAGCCAATGGGCTGAAGTCTTGTGTTATTGTCATCCGGGTCCTGAGGGACCTGTGCACCCGTGTGCCCACCTGGGGTCCTCTAAGAGGATGGGTAAGGCACCTTCTACCTATGGCCACCTGGGGATTGTATGCTCAGAGACCTTCTTCCATAGGTCAGGAATATCTTCTGATAACGGGCTAGAGTGTCCCTTTGGGGTGTGGCGGATGTGTCGCCATCATAGCTGCTTATTGAGCGACTGCTGTGTGCCACACCCTGGGTGGAAGGTGAAAATGAGGCCAGGACCAACCCCCCCTCCGCCATGGTAGGTACATAGCTCAGCCTAGAGAGGGGAGCACACGTACTGTGACATGCTCCACTCCATGATGAAGCCTTTGTAGCTACTCTTGGCCAGCAGTTAGCAAATAGACCAACAAGCCAAGTCTGGCCAGCTGCCTGTTTTCCTACAGCACATAGTTAAGAATGGTTTTTGAATTAAATATAAGCACCTACACAATAGCTTCAACTTGGCCTCCTGGCCAATGTGTCCAAAAAGAGTAAATGACTCTTAAGGAAAAGGTGTGAGCCCAGCTCTAGGGGACCTATTTTGGCTTAGCCCTGACTTGTGAACTTGGATGGCTGTATCTTTCCATGTCATCCCGACTCTTTACCACATACACAGTGATAGCTCCTAAGCATCGGCTAAACACGTCCTGGACATAGGCTAACTGTTCCTCTTGCCTTTCAGCCCCTTGAGCTTCTGTGTGAGAAGTCCATCGGCACAGCCAACAGACCCATGGGTGCTGGCGAGGCGCTGCGGAGAGTGCTGGAGTGCCTGGCGTCAGGCATCGTGATGCCAGGTTGGGGCCTTGTGCTTTGCAAGTTGCAGGGAAAGGACAGGGATCAAGGCCCTGAGGCTACTTTCTGGCGGGTCCCCTGACCGGGTTAGGGCAGCAGCAGCCCCATGTCCCCCTAGGGCTAAAGCATGTGACTACCCTCTTGCACCATCATATCCAGCCCTGTGCCGGCTCCGCAGCTGTGACTCAGGGCGGATCCGGGGCAGTGGTGACCCACTCCCACGTGAGCTCCTTGCTCTGAGACACATGTGGATTATTTCTCTCATGGGCTGGATGCTGAGTGGGTCACCGAGCTCGGCGTGTTTTCCAGAGCTGGGTGTGGATGGGGCGCGGGGGGTAACGCATCTGGTTCCCTCAGCCAGTACAACTCTTCCGAGATGCTAAAAGATAATCCTCTGCATATCTTCCTTGTTTCCTGCCTTCAGATGGTTCTGGCATTTATGACCCTTGTGAAAAAGAAGCCACTGATGCTATTGGGCATCTAGACAGACAGCAACGGGAAGATATCACACAGAGTGCGCAGGTATAGTCATCGCCATTGCCACCGTGAGCCCTTACCCAGTCTGTAATCACTGGCTTCTAGTTCCATTACTGGGTATTCTCAGGGTCGCCACTGGACTCATAGGCTCAGGTCGGGGACTGAAGGCTAAGAAGGGATTGTGCCTGATACAGGGTGCCTCAATCTGGGCTGCTTCTTTCCCCTGGCGCCACGCGTGGTTGTAGCCTGCCCCTCGACCTGCTCGAGTGTTGTTTTCAGACACCGAGTACAGCGGGGAGGTCTATTTGCTGTTTAGATTGTTCCAGGGGTCCTTCCCTTGCAGGCCCACCACGTGGCTCCGTGTGGCAACCAGTCCCCAGGTTGGGGTCTCCTGTATTCCTCTTGAGGCGGGTGGTCACAGGCTGGCCTTCCCCCACAGCAAGGCTGGGTCCTGGCAGTCAGGCCTTCCCCTGGCTGTTGGGGGAACCCTTCCTGTTGTAGGGGAGACCATTAGCAACCCCCTCAGCTCCTACCCCTTCCAGAAGGCATTAGCAAGCGTACACATCTTGGCCAGGAGCACAGGGCGGCTGAGTCAGGTTCCTATTCCTCTTCCCCTTTTCCAGCATGCTCTGCGACTTGCTGCATTTGGTCAGCTGCATAAAGTCCTGGGTATGGACCCTCTGCCTTCTAAGATGCCCAAAAAACCAAAGAATGAAAACCCAGTAGACTACACCGGTAAGTACACCAGGGGTTCCAGGCTGGGCAGCGGACTCCCCACGGAGCACCAGACTGGACTCGTAGCCACTTCTGTCCTGATCTCTTTTAGTTCAAATCCCCCCCAGTACCACCTACGCCATTACGCCAATGAAACGCCCGATGGAGGAGGATGGAGAGGAAAAGTCCCCCAGCAAAAAGAAGAAGAAGATTCAGAAGAAAGGTACAGGCATTCACTCCTGGGCCTGTTTGTCCTCCAGCTCCGGTTAACTTCAAAGTAGGGAGACACCTTACTTTTTTCAGACATATTTAAGTCATTTTTAGAACGATTATGTAATAGAGGTACAGAACACAAGTGAGGTGGGTGTGCCCCAGCTGGAGACTCCAGTGGTGGCGTGTACGTGGGAGCAGCAATAGGCAAGGCCTTGGGATGTGCGGCTGCCCAATCCATCTTGTACCGTGACAAAAGGCCATCAGAAGAGACCCCTTCCCTGGTTCAGAATTGACTGATGTTCCAGAGTGATGTTGGTGGTCTTTCTCTAGAGGAGAAGGCAGAGCCTCCCCAGGCTATGAATGCCCTGATGAGGCTGAACCAGCTGAAGCCCGGGCTGCAGTATAAACTGGTTTCCCAGGCGGGGCCGGTCCACGCCCCCATCTTCACCATGTCTGTGGAAGTAGATGGCAGTTCATTCGAGGCCTCCGGACCATCCAAAAAGACTGCCAAGCTACATGTGGCTGTTAAGGTAGGGTAGCTGGTGGCATTGTCCAGCCCATGCTTTTCCTTCAGATAGCAAAAGCACTTTCTTCATCTGGGGCTTCTTCAGAGCTGTTGGCTCCTATTTAAGTGCTAGGTGCAAATACCCATGTGGCTTAGGGAGGGTGTGCAGACACTGAAATGGTTAGATTTTGGAATGTTTGTCAAATCATGTGGCAAAAATGCCTTTGTCATCATGGCTGACAAGCAAAGGGTGTACACACATGGCTGAGGGTTTGGAGAGCTAAAGAAAACAATACTCCAGATTGCTGGACGCCGCTCTAGGAGCTTCTGATTTAGGATGAGCTAGTGCTGAGCCTCTTCCCTCACTGGGGGTTGTGTGGGTCTCCCTCCCAGGTGTTACAGGACATGGGCTTGCCTACGGGTGCTGAAGGCAGAGACTCCAGTAAGGGGGAGGACTCAGCTGAGGAGACGGAGGCCAAGCCAGCAGTCGTGGCCCCTCCACCTGTGGTAGAAACCGCTTCGACCCCCAGTGCTGCCTTTACTTCAGATCCCACTGCCGAGGTGAGCCCATGGTGGGCACTGGAGGGCCCAAAAGGGTGGAGCAGTCAGCCTTGTGTCCTGTGAGCCTGGATCGTTGCTGGTCCTAGTCATTTCCGCCCAAAGAAATCACCTTGCAGTTTGGGAGCTTACAGCCCCTACACCTTCCAGGTGTGAGCCTTTGAGCCACTACTAAGAAGGCTTTTCGGATGTTGAGTCATAACTCAGGGATGTACTAGGGTGGCCTCAGTCAGTGTCTGGCCATTTCCCAGAGAAAGAGGGTGCAGGTGGAGGTCATCATATTGCTGGGAGGCTCACAGATGACTTTCAGAGGTGAGGGTAGTGTGGGACAGCAGGGTACATAGAGCCATGATGCACTAGTGGCTGTCCTCCACCTGTTGGACAGCCCTTAGCTGAGAGTGTTGGTTTTTTTTCCTTCTGTTTTCCCTGAGAACGTAAAACAGCAGGGGCCGATCCTGACCAAACATGGCAAGAACCCTGTCATGGAGCTTAATGAGAAGAGGCGTGGCCTCAAGTATGAGCTCATCTCAGAGACTGGTGGCAGCCATGACAAGCGCTTTGTCATGGAGGTGAGTGATCCTGGAGCGGTTCTTGTGGAGGCCTGGAGTCTTTGGAGAGCCCACCTGACCTGGTGGGAGGCTTTGGATCACCCCCCACATGTGTCTGTTCTTCCCAGGTCGAGGTAGATGGACAGAAGTTTCAAGGTGCTGGCTCAAACAAAAAGGTAGCAAAAGCATATGCTGCCCTTGCTGCACTAGAAAAACTGTTCCCTGATGCCCCTCTTGCCCTTGAAGCCAATAAGAAGAAGAGAACGCCTGTGCCTGTCAGAGGGGGACCGAAATTTGCTGCTAAGGTAACTGTTTACCCCTGAGAGCCTTTGAGCTCGACATGAATTCTTCTGCGATTGAAGCATGAGTCAAAAGTAACTTGTCTGTTCTCTTCTGTCCAGCCTCATAACCCTGGCTTTGGCATGGGAGGCCCCATGCACAACGAAGTGCCCCCGCCCCCAAACCTTCGAGGGCGGGGAAGAGGAGGGAACATCCGTGGTCGAGGGAGAGGGAGAGGATTTGGTGGCGCCAACCATGGAGGCTACATGAATGCTGGTGAGGAACCTTGTCCTATTGCCATGGGCTCTCTGGGGTGTGTAGGGCCCCTGGGGTTGAGCTGAGGTGCTGGGAGAGGCAGATGCAGGGGAGACCCACCCCCAGCCCTGATAACCTTGTTGGTTCCCTTCCAGGCGCTGGATATGGCAGCTATGGGTACGGAGGCAACTCGGCTACAGCTGGCTACAGTAAGTGTGTATTTCTCTTGGCCTGAGTTTGGGAAGAAGCTGCAGTGTAGCTCCTATGCCTGAGTTAGAGCAGGGTGGCCCGCCAGCAGCAGCCTCCCTGAGACTTCAGAGTTGCCCACACCTGTTCTCAGTGATTAGATTAGGCCATCCTCAAGGCCCCCACCCTCCCCATCCTGCAAAAGTGTGATTTTCTCTGTAAATGTTAACACACACATTGTGTGACTTAAAAGTACCTTAAAAGTAAAAATTTTAAATTTCTCTGCTTTAAGCCATGTGAACGAAGCACCAATTTTGTGAATATGCTTTTCCTGACAGTGCACAGCTCTTGTCTTGAGAAGGAGCCTTCACTGGGGGGTTACAGGAGCAGAGAAATCTAAAACATGAATTTCAAATGTGGCGCTCTGTGCCATTTTTCAAAAGAATTCTAATTTTTTTTCTCTGCTCTGTCTCCCCCTTTTGTAGGTGACTTTTTCACAGACTGCTACGGCTATCATGATTTTGGGTCTTCCTAGAGCATCTAAAAGTATTGCACACAAAATCAACTTTTTACTCCAATTTTCTCGAACTCCAAAACCCAAAGTGTCCGTGCTGTGCCCCTGTGCTTCACTGGGTTTCTCAACCGTGGCTTGTCACCGCAGCTTGTCTGAAACTCTTAGCCTGCAGAATTTAAGACAATGGCAGTTTTTATCGTGATTTGCCTTTGAACTTGGTCATATTGAAGTTCACAATAAGTGGAAAACAATTTTCAGAGAATGCTTTTTTTTGTGCAGAATTGCACAGAATTCTAGAGCCAGCGTTGGTCAGCATCAAGGCAAAAGCCCACCTTTGCTTTTTATGGAAAGCATTACTTTATTTAAGAGACAGATAAATGATTTTAATCTACCTTTGTCTTAATTTACAGCAGGTTTTGTATGAATTTTTAACCTTTTAACAAAATCCCAAATCTGGTTGATGCCTTTGACAGTGATGAAAACTATTTCACCACATCCGAATCCAGAGCAACTGGCTTTTTTTTTTTTCTCTCTCTCTCTCCCTCCCTCTCCCTCCCTCCCTCTCTCTCTCCCCCCCCTCTTTTTTTTTTAATAAGCTTGTAAAACGTTGGGGACATTGGGGAATTGTATATTGTGCTAAGTTAACCTTTCCTGCCTCTTGTAAATGCTCTGGTGGGTTTGTGTTTGGGGATGCAACATTCTGTGGCTGGTTTAGCTAGAGGTGAACTCTCAAAGGTATCAAAACTGTGCTTCCATCATTTAGTGCAAAAAATAGACAGGCTTATGGGAGCTATAATGCAGAATTTTGCAAGTCCTAATTACAGTTGCAAATGCATGGAATTCTAGAATTTCTAAAGTGAGGCTTTAAAAATAGTCAAGCAGAAAGAGCCTAATATGTAGCTCAATTCTCCAGTGAATAACTTGCGTCAGTAGGGCCTGTACTCATGGGTGCACAGCTGCAGCAGATTTCAGAAGCCCTAGAAACCTCCACCCTCTCACTTTAGGGTACAGGCTTGAGGTTGTGGCTTCTCCCTGTGTGTAGAGGCACACAGAGGCGATTGGGCTCTTTACTCAGGCCTCCCGTTTCCTGTGGAAGTTCCTGGAAACAAGTCTGGTTTTCACTCTGGTCAGCAGTTACTTCTGCAGCAAAGCCTGCCTCTGTGTTGACTTGCAAGATTTTGCGTTTATTCAGGCAAAAACTGGTCAAAACAGTTACTGCATAATTTGTTCCCAGAGGTTTGAAACATTCAGTGAAACTTTTTAAAACTTTGATNTGTATGAAGGTGATTATTATGCCCTTGTCTACGGTGGGTAAATATTGCACCATTTTGGTGTACATTTTTAATCTATTAGAATGTTCTGATTACTCTTTATTCATGTTTTTTCTCCATAGTAATCATACATGGAAATACTGACAACTTAGTAACAGAAAAAACACTGTTTGTGGTTGGCCAATAAAATGTTAAAAAGATAAGATTTGGGGAGCTCGTGTCTTGTTCAAGGTTGTTTTGTAATTGTGTAATCTCTCAGGAAATGTATCGATGGTATTTTACTTGTGTTTTCTGTTTTCCAATCATGAATATATTAAGTGATATATCTCCTAAGTTCACTACTTTAATATTTGTGGCTATGATGATAATGCCCCCAAGCTCTGAGGTTGTTATTGGTTTGATGTCTTAGAACTCACAGCGAGGCAGTCTTTGGTACTCCAGGAGGCTTCCCTGTGTATCCCAGTTTCTGGTGTTAGTATACTCAATAATTTGGCATTACATGGGATTTGTGATGTATGGTATTTTTTAAATCAAATAATTTTATACATAATTTATAAGTTTTATAAGTAATTAAGTACAGTCACTTACAAGCACCCCCTCTCCCTTATTACTTTAACATTTTAGCCTTTTGTGATAGAAAATGCATCAGTCTCTTTATGGCATAGTTCACTGCTTTTGTACAGCTATTTCCAGAGAAACTGGAAAAGTTTTGGGGACCAGTTTCCACATGAATAAATATTGAGAAGCATATTACTGAGAACCTAATACGTATAAAGCATAGTCTTCCAACACTAAGTGGGAATCGATGAGGATTTGCTGGGTTGAAATTCTATAGAGTTCTGCTATCGTGCCAAATGCTTCCCCTAAAAGATTTGATTGTTTTTTTTTTTTTTTTTTTTTTTTTTAGAAAGTTATTGTTTGAGAATAATGTCTTTTTATACCAGGAAATAGTTATCCTGAATGACGTTGAAAACTTCCCCTCCCCTTTATTTTTTTTTAATCAATACATGTTAAAGTAACAAGCCGTAACTACTTGGCGTCTTCATTCATTCCTGTGCTTGTGGAGGGGTGAGGAGGCAGGCACTCAGTGTAGGCCGAAAGTCAACCAGTGTGGCAAGAGTTTTAAGAGGGGATCTGAAGAAGACCACCTGTCCTGGCCTCCTCGTGTTTACTCTCTTGCATTGTGGGACACATCCTTGTCCTTGGATTTGTGATGGGGGGGTTGGTGTAGGGTGGAGGCTGCCCGCCTGAAGAAAATAAACCCATGGCGGAGTTCAGTTCTATCCAAATTACTATTCAAACAGCCCAAGGCACACCACTGGGGTGCACATCTTCAGTGGGTGGAAGGCTTGTGAGGATTCCCAAATTTACCCAAAAGGTGAAGGACCCTTGGATCTAAACATGGAAAGGAAGTGACAGGCTGTGTGGGAGCATCCCCTCCCTCTCCTACCCACGCGGTATATCCAGGCTGACCAGGCAGCAGCCTCAACCATCTGTGGACAAAGGCACAGCTAACCAGCAAAGGCATGCTAGGCCTACCTGCTTTAGGAGCCCAGGAGCTCCACTGCCCCTGCTGGAGCACTGGAAACTGCCCAGCCTGGATGGACAGCCACCCACAGGACCCATCCTCCCTCTCCCCCCTCGCCTTAGTTGATCCGTCTCCCAAAGGTCCACCTGAGTGTCTGGTGGGGAGCAGTGTCTTGACAAACCAATGTTCTGGGGGTCTTTACCTAAGGACCAGAAGGTGGGGGGAGCTCTCCGTGACATTCTCAGCCCTAGAGCCTGAGAATGTGGCGGCTTGCTGCACGCTTGTCACTCCTGCTGCTCAGTCCTGCCTGAGCCCAGCAGCTGTGCTGGGAACAAGGAGGTGCCCTCTGGGGGACCACCTGGACCTTCTGATCCCAGCCTTAAGTCTTCTTTTCCCAGGAGGCTGTGGAATTGCTCCTTAAGGCATGTGTTTGCATAAATCCCATCAGGGAGCAGTCCCAGGTCATTTGGCTTAAGTCTCTGTTTCTGGTTCTCCAAGAACCAGGTCAGACCAGTGGATCATCCAGGAATGACACCAATGTCAGGGACCTTGTTAAAGAGCATTTCCTAGGGTCACCCAAGCCTGTGACTGCCAAGCCTCTTCCCAGCACAGCGGGGGAGGGCTGGCTGCTTCTCTGGGGCTTTGCTTTTCCTGTCATCGTTGGGGACATCTGGGTAGCAGTCAGCTAGTTGTGAATGTCATCCTGCACTCGGAGCCCATCTCATTGTAACGTTGACATCCGCTGCAAAAGCTGCTCTCGGCGTGCTGCCGTGCCGCTGCTTGGCAAAGATCCATTGTTGTCATCAGCTAATGGGTGAGTGGAGCTGAAGGCTGGGCCAGCCCAGACCAGGCTGCTTTAGGGACTGGAGCTGCTGCTCCTTGCTCTCCTACCTTTCACTCTGCCCCTGCCTGGGCCGTGGGCTCACGGGTCAGCCTTCAGGACCCACAGCTTCGACCTTCCCTCCCTTCCCCCCTCCCCACCCCGACTCCGTCTCCCTGAGCCTCCACCTGACTGGATGCCTTCCTGTTTAGGTCAGTTCTACAGCAATGGAGGGCATTCTGGGAATGCTGGCGGTGGCGGCGGCGGGGGCGGT